CGCCGGGAGTGCGGATTTTCGTTTCTAAGACTTGCGAGGATTGTGTGTTCAAAACGGAGTCATATAATTTGCCTCACAAATGGATTCTGACTGAAGGATGACTTTCCAAACGAACATGGATCGGCTACTTAATACAACTGTGAGAACCCATTTCGATCTGCAGTCTATGTTGTCGGGACCGCAACAGTACTTTGAGATCAAGTGTGAGATTCATAGCTTTGATCTATGGGGAAGTTGCAAATTGGATTCATTGGTGTCACCCACTTGATTTCTTTAAGTATTTGTTACACCTTATTAAGGACCAGGTCAGCCAGGATCAAGTCCCCGTGCATATCACGCGGAAACTTTCGACAATCTAAATGTATGGTACATTCTGCTTGAGTGTGATACTTATAGTTTTTGATCTATTAAAAATGAAAATGTTGGATCTATTGACAGTTTTTAGTAAATTCCTGGTCAGTGGAGTTATGGCCAAGTTTTGTCATCCTCTTTCACATTTGCTCACTTAACATTATTGTTTTTGCCTTGAGCAGTTACAGTTAGTACCAAAGACCACCAGTCCCGTTTGTTTTAAAGTGGTCCAAGCCTACAGCGCATGGGCCTCCTTGTCCCGCTCATACCTTCTCTTTACATACGCTGTAAACATCTCAAGACGTGTGACGACTCTGAGGGCTAAACTGAGTGAACGACGCGCAACAACGTCCGCCCGAATGCACTGTGCGAGACCGTTACACTGAAAAATCTGGAGAAATTGGCAGGCAAAATGCACAAAACCGTAGTTCTGTATTTATTACAAGCAAAGGCACCACCTTTCCTAAGCATGATCACATCATTACGAAAGGCAAAAACAGTGCCTTGAATACATCGTTCCGACGAAACGAAATCGTATCTTGCCCTGGCCCTTGCCATCGTTCCAGCGGTCATAGGGTCGCTTGTCCACTGACGTCATCAACCGTCGTCCAATCAGACGGCTTCTGCACACCTCGTGGTGCAGCTTTCAAACCACCATGACGGACAACCAATGACGTCACGGGACCTCGGGACTTAGCGGTCAAATCGTCAGATGACCGTGCCTGGTACATAGGGTCTTAAGATTGCTGCGACGTCCGAGATTCATTGGCGTGTGTAATCCACGCCTTTCTGATGTGTAGGCTCACCATTTATGTACAAAAGCACATACAGAAGGACTACATTTCATCACAATGCATCAGGATGTCCTCCTTTATCTGACCATAGGTAAGGCATGGAGAAATACCACAACTGCGATTTACGTTCCACAGCCACAAAAGTAGGCGACATCTTGTCTTGCTGTGCCAACTGGGATAGATGAACAAAAGCACACCGGCTTCTCACAGCGACGGTTACAAAAGTTTCAGATAGGGGCACGCATAAAGACGCTATCACATGCATATGCAACACTTGATCTAGGCACGCATACGTAGCGGGGAATGACGGTGGCGAGGACTTAGATGCACTGTGACGAGAAAAAACCAGATCACATATTGCTATGCCAAGCGAAGTAAATTAACGCATTTCCATCGACATACGCTTCTTACAACCAGCAGAACCCGACTTATGCATAAGAACATAGATCATAGTTGCGTTATATTGCATTACACTACATAACCATGCCATGCTATACTGAGAACGTGTACATGTGTCACGGACCAGGGCCGTGACCGGGACTGACTGCACTGCTACAGAAGTGAACGCGATGGTGTCTCTCCGTGACATCTGAGACGGATCACACATGTTCACCGAACGATATTTCTCTAAACCAGGGCAGGCATTTCAATTTGTATATATTTGTACGGATGGACATATATATAAACCGTAATACAAAACGATGGCCTAGTTCACCTGAGTATATATCACGAGGGCCGGGACTGATAAGAAGTCAACAGGATCAGGTGTTTTTATCCCGCCTGAGACAGGTCAACGCAGGTAAATGGACTAAAACCTTCTCACAACCAGGTTCACTCTTATCCAGTCAGCTGTTAACACCTTTGGTGTATATAACTGGGTATTAAGGCTTAATATGGGTCGGTGTCTTCACCCGTTCTTCTGCACCCCAGATCCGTTGTGAGCGCAGTGCCACTTGTCCTGGGAATAGAAGAGGCAATTACTTGACGGGAAATAGTCCACGGACCACTCTCAATCAAGAGAAATGCATGGACACATGGGTCAGAACAAAAAGAGCTGACCCTTAACAGATTCAGATGTACCAAGCGAACGTAAGCAGAAATAACTACCCCAACCCGCATACAGCTGTTCAGTGAGTTTCCGGAGTTGCAGAGAGAAGTGGAGAGAGGACGGGGTAGCAGATAACAGACTTCACATATAACAGAGAACAATCACATAACAGATACAGGTAAACAGATAACAGACAGGGGACGGATAACAGACTTGCCAGCATAAAGTTTAAAAGAAGACGGGCGCGACAGAGTCGGACCACTCAGATCTTAGCACAGAACCATAAGCGTACTAAATATGCAATCACGCGCCGTACTTTCCGTTAGCACTGCACATTTGCGGCCAATCAATTTGAGGCAGTGCGCTGTAGACGATGCGAAAGTGACTGATTTTTAACTCTGGTGATGGACGCAAAATGACCCCGGCCTTCGGTGCGCGCTTATACCGCAATCACCACCGTCGAGCTCAGCTAGGCGTTATAACCAGCATTGTCACGAAGCGGATGTCGTGGAAATAAGTGCTGCGTTGTGCAGACAGGATGTATCTGCCGCTTGCAACGAATTCATCATATTCCATAGGGGAGCCGGCAGACAGGTCCAATGCAGTCCTGGACTTAGACGCGCTTCTTCCGAACAATAGCTCCAACGCGTCACCGGCTGCGCCACCGAGCCCGAGTGGCCCGCCGCGAAAGGCAGAACCAACCGGGGATCAAGAGTCAGATGCAGTGAAAGCACACAGACCGAAGGCAGTCGATGCAGTGAAAACGCAGTCCCCAAACGCATATTTTGAGGCAGCTCGACGACGATGGCGATTTTGAGGCAGCCTGAGCCCGACGATGATGATTACGGCATAAGCGCGCACCGACAGCCGAAGTTAATTTGGCGTCCATCAGCTGAGATCAAAATAAGTCACTTTCGCATCGTCTACAGCACGCCGCCTCAAATTATGCGTTTCTATATATATATATATATATATATATATATATATATATATATATATATAATATATATATATTATAAATATATGTATATGTATATGTATATATGTACATATATATGGTTGTGATATAAATATATATATATATTTAGATATAGATATGGAATAGATAGATAGATAGATAGATATACATACATATATATATATATATATATATATATATATATATATATATATATAGATATATTTAGATATAGATAAGATAGATAGATAGATAGATAGATAGATTATATATATATATATATTCATATATCTATATCTCTCTCCTCTCTTTATATATTTATATAGGCATATGAAACCATGCTGAGCATTGCGGCACAGTCAACTTTTGCCACCAACTTCTGCCGTTGCCCTGGAATTGCGCGATCGGATGGCAGGCGTCAGGACTCGCCCAACAAACACTGCTTAGCGTGAGCTCTGATTCCAGAAATTATCCTTGGAAAAGGCTCGGATTAATTCTTTAAAATGGATTTCATTTAATCTTTATATGAGGTCAGGATGCTAGGTCAACTCGTACAACAGCTACATTCAGGGTATTCTTCGGTGGCTCATGGCAACATTTTTACATGGAAAATGGCAAGCTTCTCATTTCAAGAGCGTCACACCAGTCGGAAACAAACGCGCGGCGCTGCCGTTCTCAGCGCCGTGCATGAATCAATCCCGACGTTTGCTATCAATTATATTCTAGCTAAAATGAAAACAAAGCAATGTCCAGGGCACAGTACTTACAAACTAGTCATGCCGTTCGTGCATGAGCTTCAAAAAGCACTGTGACGTCCTCCCGGCATCATCGACTTTGGGAGTGCTGGTGGCTCAGCGAGAGGTGGCGATGCTGTTGAGCTGCTATCCAATGTCCAGCAAAACGCTGGAAGCAGATGTTCATAACTTAAAACGCCTTTAAATGCCCCAAAACGCAAAGGCGTCTGTTTGGTGAGGTTGGTGAGAACAGTATCAGTAAAAAGTTAGCTGGATATTTTATGAACAAAACAAAATTAAACCTTCATCAACGTAACGTTTACAACTAGTATCAGTCACTTATGATTAACTAAGGGACTTTGAAGACATTGTGGGAAAAATTTTCAGTGAAAGTGACAAACAATATCGGTCAGCTTGATTAGCAATTAATCGAATTACCTCTGTCAGGTGCGAACAAAAGAAGTGGCGCAGTCAGACCGTTGACAGCGTGCACCTTTCTGTAAATTTGCAAACATGCACATAAATACCAATATAGTAAAAACAACCTTTCCGAGAAAAGAATATCGTGCACTCCAGATGCAGTGGTACACTTCAGCGCGGCACGGCAGCACGGCACGGCACAGCAGGGCATGGCGCGCCACTGCAGTTGCGATGGAAGTGTCGAGTGAAGCCGACCGCCACCGCCTCCCGCGTGCCAGCACACGTGCAGTACGCAGGAGGAGTCCCGCTGGCAGGCGCTGTGTGCGGCACAACCAAACGCGATCCTGTCCTGTCAAACGAGATGGTCGAGGCTGCTACCAGTCTCTGCGCGGCTGCTGTCTCAGATGAAAATGACTCGCCCCACATGAAATCCAAGTGGGCCAGACGCCTTACCGGCATCACCAGCACGTGAAGCAGCCCGTGAAATCCACTTGGTTGTACGGCATGAGTCACACGCGTGGCGTGGACGGCAACCAAGGCCGCAGCTAACGACGCAGATCATGTGAAGATGGTTTCAGGGCCATTATATGATGCCACAACACAGAAGGGGCTGGCACAGACGAAGACGACATGCTTGACAAAATTTGTTGATATTTCGTTGTCGAGTCGTGACGAGGCAGCCAGGCACTTCAGAGATGGAAGCACTGCCGCTGCTTCCTCCCTGCCGTGCTGGCCGGCTGGTGCAGGTCGACGGTGCCGTCAGGCTGGGACTGGTGATGGGGCTGGCGCAGGTGATGGAGCTGTTCCGGAGTTTGTGCCACCTTTAGAGATCTCCTCATGATGGTTTTGATTGCACCAGGCTTCCATGATTCCAACAGCTTGACCACAGCGTATGAAATGCATGCACTGAGGAATGTTCTTAGTTGACGATGACGTGTGTGACACGCTGTAGAGGCACATGAAGAGTTTATTCTTACCATATGTTTGGTTAAGTCCAATAAAATCAATAAATAAAGTTTCTGTACGCAAAATTGATGTAAAGTTACGAAAAATGGGCAGTGATTACAAACGTGGAGAATGCAGTGCTCCGGTACCCAGTGCATTTTCTACCTTTCTTCAACATGGCCAGAGCCTCAACAATGTTTTGGAAACGTGAAGTAATCAAAGAGCCTGTCAATATTTGTTCGAGATGGCAAATGGCTGAAAGGAGAATGGATAATCTTTTGTCCTGACAATGTGTTGCGCGGCTGCATTCACATAATATGTATCTTCAGGTATTTCATGTCCAAAACCGCATGGGCCACAAAGACGGTGTGTTAACAAGCAATGCTGTGATTGGAGTGAGCTTTGTTGAAGAAACCGAACGAATACAACAGAGCATCCGGCACGGTAATTACGGTTGAGTGGCGGAGCGAGCGACCGGTCAGGTAGGGCCCACAATCGGTCCAGATAACACCTACCCTTTCCTTAGTCTCGATCATGCAATAGTATGAACATCAAAATCAGACACGCATCCAGAAAAATCCAAAATATCTATAAGCCGTAGAAGAACCCGGAAAGTTATCACGCAGCATGACAAAACACCTCCTTTACCTACCTTTCGGTGTACCCCCGTCCGTACGCGTTCACGCGTCTTGAATGAGAGAAACGAACATGTTTTTTTGCATATCGTTGAAAGCTGAAACGATCCGTGTACATGCGTGTTTAAGGGGTTATCGCATAAATAGACCAATCTGTTATGCTAAATGATGGAGAAGTACATGTGTCGCGTATATTGCAAAACATTCGGTGACTGCTGGCCAAGAATTTCGAGGTGGCGCGAACTTTCTTCCAAGATGTCGGGAGGTGCGTGTCGTATCAGCTGTGCATGGGCCGTGTTATATGAAGTGTACAATATATCGACAATACTTCCTTGACAGGCTTACTCTCAGTGACTGAATGACCATTATCACTACTTATTACCATCCAGAAAAGCCGATATTTACATCGCCTATTTAGACTCATGGTTTCTGCCTGAGGAACCGAAACCAAGGAGACAGTTATCGTAAGACAAACACTGATTGAAAACAGGGCAAAAGTTTGTAATGTGGCAATCATGACGAATAGCAGAAAAGAGCACAGACGAGCGCATTTTTTATTTTACGCATTTTACGCATTTAATCTTTTGACGCATTCAGTTGTTCGCGATGCAATCTACCTGATGTCAAACAAGGGACATAAGCACAACTTCCCCCACCATGTGATGCAGGTTGCCCCATGGTGAGGCAAGCTGTCTCATTTGGAAAGAAGTCATTTGGAAGTCATTTGCCAAAAACCGAAGACGTGTTCCCCAAATCCTTACCGCTTCCAATGAAAATGAAGGCTACATTGGTCTGTATATATAGGATGCTTTTATTTTCACTAGTTATAACAGGAGAAAGCTCAGCGAAAAAACTGGTGCAACTCTGCGTATTTTCTGCTTGGATGCTAAAGTAACTTTTTATCACTAAGACACCCACAAATAACCGAGAACAAGCACCACGGTAAGTACACTTAGAGCATAAATGCTAGATTTAGAAAGTTTAGAAAAATGATGGTCTAAGCCCATCCTGTATGCAATATAAAGGGAATGATCCATATTAAAGATAATGACGCAAACATCTGATGCAATGAAATAAACTCACTTGTAGTTTTGGCTGGTGTAAATGTAGAGGACTGCTCTAGGCCACACAATTTCACAATTTCGTAAATATTCTTCTCAATACGTCATCGTTTGACTGCGCCATGGAACGTCTTTATGGCGTCAGTCGCGGCCAGACTTCGTGTCAGAATTGCCCTTGTAGCGAACGGGCTGACTCACTCGTAGTACTGCGGCCTGCCAAGAGGTGGCAGTACGTTGCTGGAGCGTCCCCAGTGGCCATGCGGTGCTTAAGGCCCGGACAAATATAATCATTCAGTTATTCTTGTCTGGCGTATGTCAGGACGATTTATGGCACCAATGGACTTCAGTTGGATCTCAACCAATGCCATGCATTCAGGGGAAGTTTCAAACGTGAATCACATAACCTAGGATGTTGTAAGGTGGTACGAGTTATGACGGAAGTAAGACTGGGAATAGAATAACTCAAAGGAAATGTTCTACATTCGAATATCTTGAAGCAAACATCAGACATGATGAAATAAGTACTCCTAAAGCTATCGGTATACTGCCATATGTAGAAGAGGAAGCGGAAAATACTGCTTTAGACAACGAAATTTGTCTATTGAGCAACTATCCTTCTCAATGCGTCACTGCTTCTTTGCGTCCTAGAACGTTTGAACGGCAACTTCCATGTTTCTGCAACCTCTCGAGAGATGGCAGCACGGTTGGTGTCTGTGTGTCTGCTAAGCTAATCATCGTTATGTGCTCGTATTTTGACCATTTTTTGTGGTGCTCTTGCACATTTATTCACGGTGCTAAGATGTCAACTAGCATTCACATGCTCGGTTATTGCGCTATTCTTGAAGAGAATGCTCCACATTTGTATGGGGATTTGAGTTAAAATAGCCATCTTGAAGATCACTCTGTGCAGTTCACAGTACTGTCATTCTTAAGACCTAAACCACTCTGGCTTATGAGCTACACGCACGCGAGGATACGCAGACTATTACGTGCAAGCTATTTGAGGGTTACTGTTACAACCATACATCAAAATCCAGCTGCTTGGAAACGGCCTTTTCGATGCTGCTGCTTTATGGCACATAAAACCTGAAAAGAATGTGCAACGCCAATAAAAGCCTGCCTATACACACACACACCAACCACACACACACACACACACACACACACACACACACACACACACACCCACACACACACACACACCACCACACACACACACACACACACACACACACACCCACACACACACACACACACACACACACACACAACACACACACACACACACACACACACACACACACACACACACACACACACACACACACACACATATATATATATATTATTATATCTATATATATATATATATATATATATAGATATATATATATATATAGAGAGAGAGAGAGAGAGGGAGACGAGAGAGAGAGAGATGAGAGAGGAGGAGCATGAGAGAGAGAGAGAGAGAGGAGAGGAGGGAGAGAGAGAGGAGAGAGAGAGGGAGAGAGAGAGAGAGAGAGAGAGGAGAGAGAGAGATACATGTATATATATACATATATATATATATATATATATATATATCTATATCTATATCTATATCTGTATATATATATATATATATATATATATATATGTATATCACCCGATATAAAGACCAATATGTAATAACCTGAAACAATTAATCAACATTTTTAAACCAACGCTTACGCTTTGCGAACGCATCACTGGCATATGGTGGTCTGATCATATTCTGAGCGGCGCCTCAAACACCGCCCACCGTCACGCGTTCCGCGCCACCACGAGCGTCATCACGAGTGCCATCTCTCACCACCATCTCGCGCCACAAATAGCGCCCTCTATGCCGTACACCATCCACTACTGAGCAGATGCCGCCCCACAACAGCGGCCACACTCCCCCACCCGCTCTAAAGTGGTTACATATTTGCATAACACAAAGTAAAACAATTCAATGTACAACACGCGGCATTGAAACGCCAGCATATCCACCGCGCAGTGTCCGGTGCCACGAGAAACCGACCGGCAAGCACCACGTCGCGAACTCCACTGCCGCTTAGCCAGGCGCCACACAGCCGGCCGACGAGCACCATACGACGCACACTCAGGCACCATGAAGACGGTAGCCGCCCGTTAAGCGCCACAGCCGCCCAGCACGCCCGCGAGGCGCCCACTTGCTGCAGCAAGGTCGCCCCGCCCATGCTGGGCACTCTGACGATGAATCAAGTCCTTTTACGGGAGGAGTCGTACCGTCTTCTGCATGGGACGGTCATACGTCCCGTCCTTGGTGCGAACAGTGACCTTCAGGACGAGTCCGCCGGCGGAAATGTCTAGATGAAAACGAGCCCCAGAGGCCACAGGCAGCGGGGAGAGGGCCCTCGAGGGCGGGCGCGACGTTGTCCGGTTTTATGTTCTCGAGCTCCGTCGTCCATTTCCTCCTCTCCTGGAGGCCCGAGAGAGAAGTCCGAGCGGCAATGCCGCAAAAACTAGTCTGTGAGGTGCTGGAATCATCGCCAGAGACGACGGCAGTAGATGTCGCGCCTGTGAAAGGCACTAGGCGGAGACAAAACTTCACTGCATTTCTGTACAAGAAGGCTCATGGGCGAGATTGGGTGAGGGGCATTAGGAGTCATATTGAAGGAGGTGAGCGGCCTGCTGTTAACAATCGCCTCAACTTCACTCAGAAGAATTCGCAGGGGCTCACCGTCTAGTCGGGCTTGGCGGCATTTTTCAACCCGACCGCCCAAAGCAGCCCTGATGGATGCACAGCAATCGGCTTCAGCTGGGTGGAGATCACCTGTCACATCACCTGTCAGCTGATGTGTTCCACTCCAATCCCAGCGTCCATTGAACGGGGAGGCTGTTGAAACCAATGTCCAGACTCTGCAGTCCTGCACACCGACTATCTGCCGGCAGACTTAACAACACCAATGTCGTTTGAGATAATCTTGTGAACTTTGAACTATCCAGGTTTACACAGGCTCCTGCTTACACCAATCAAGCTTACCGTTGTATCTACGTCTCGAACAGATGCGAGGTCGTCGTCGATTTAAAAGTAGTTTTTCACGAAGTCGGCGGCTTCCTTTTCGCTACCATCACGATAGCCGTCAGCTGCAGATCTCAGGGCAAACA